GTGACGCGAAGCACATTTGGAAGTCAAAATGTACAAAGCACACCATGCTCGGACCACTTTTGGAAATTGAGATGTCGAAACACCGTTGTGGCGCGAAGCACATTTGGAAGTCAAAAGTGGAAAAGATTGAGGGGTTTGGAGCACTTTTGGACGTTCGAGTGTCCTTTTGCGTGGCAGGCACAACGGATTTTGCACCTTTACAACCACACCACACCACTACACTACACTACACTACACTACGCTACACTACACCAATGACATGACACGACAGGACACGATACGACACGACACGACGACACGACAGGACACGACACGACACGACACAACACGACACTACAGTACACTACAGTACACTACAGTACACTACAGTACACTACAGTACACTACAGTACACTACAGTACGCTACAGTACACTACAGTACACTACGGTACACTACAGTACACTACAGTACACTACAGTACACAACAGTACACTACAGTACACTACAGTACACTACAGTACACTACCGTACACTACAGTACACTACAGTACACTACAGTACACTACACCAAACTACACTACACTACACTACACTACGCTACACTACACTACACTACACTACAGCAACAACAACTACTACCACTACTACAACTACAACTACTACAACTACTACAACTACTACAACTGCTACAACTACTACAACTACTACAACCTACAACAACTACAACCTACAACAACTAGAACCTACAACAACTACAACTACAACTACAACCTACGACCAGAATTAGAACTAGAACTACACTACACTACACTACACTAATGACATGACACGACACGACACAACAGGACACGACACGACACGACACGACACAACACGACACTACAGTACATTACACTACAGTACACTACAGTACACTACAGTACACTACAGTACACTGCAGTACACTACAGTACACTACAGTACACTACAGTACACTACAGTACACTATAGTACACTACAGTACACTACAGTACACTACAGTACACTACAGTACACTACAGCACACTACAGTACACTACCGTACACTACCGTACACTACCGTACACTACCGTACACTACCGTACGCTACACTACCGTACACTACACTACCCTACACTACACTGCACTGCACTGCACTGCACTGCCACTGCACTGCACTGCACTGCACTGCACTGCACTGCACTCCACTCCACTCCACTCCACTCCACTCCACTCCACTCCACTACACTACACTACACTACACTACACAACACACACTACACTACACTACACTACGCTACGCTACGCTACGCTACACTACACTACACTAGACACACTACACTAGACACACTACACTACACTACACTACGCTACGCTACACTACACTACCCTACCCTACACTACACTACACTACAGCTACACTACACTACACTACACTACACTAACTAACTACAACTACAACTACAGCTACAACCACACTACATTGCTCTACACTACACTAATTACATTATACTACACTACACTACACAACACTAGACTACACTACGCTACTTACATTTCACTACATTTCACTACACTACACTTCACTACACTACACTACACTCAATTACACTACACTTCAGCTACGGCTACAACTACAACTACAGTATATTACACTACACACGCTAATTACATTACACTATACGAGTTGGATTGCGGTACAGTACACTGCATTATACTACGCTAAAGACAGCAACAACAACAACAACAACAGCTACAACTAACAGTTTAACATTACGCTACACCACAATGCACTACGCTAATTACATTTCACTACACTACACTCCACTCCACTCCACTCCACTCCACTACACTACACTACACTACACCCCACTCCACTCCACTCCACTCCACCCCACTCCACTCCATTCCACTCCACTCCACTCCGCTCCGCTCCACTCGACTCCACTGCACTCCACTCCACTCCACTACACTACACTACGCTACACTACATTACACTACACTACACTACACTACACTACACTACACTTACGCTACGCTACGCTACACTACACTACGCAAAGCTACGCTACGCTACACGACACTACACTACACAAACTACATAACTACAACTACAACTACCGCTACACTGCAACTACAGTACACTACACTACACTACACTACACTATATAACACTACACCACACCACACCACACTGCACTGCACTGCACTGCACTACACTACACTACATCACACTACACTACACTACACCACACCACACCACACCGCACCACACTACTCTACACTACACTACACTACACTACACTACACTACACTACCCTGCACTAACTACAACTACAACCACAACTACAACTAGGCTTCTTTAGGCTGCACTAGACTACACTACACTTCCCTACGCTACATTGCATTACGCCCATTACACCACCACAAATGCATCTGCAACTACACTACACTATTTACACTACACCACAATTACAACTGCACTACCCTACAGCTACAACTACAGCTGCGCTACACCACTCTACATCCGCAGTTGTGGGTGAGGTGACTGACGAGGTGACCATTGCAACCATTGTAACCACTCCAAAATAGACAACTCCAACCACTTTTCAGTCCATCAGTGGATTCGCTCTGCCATCCGTGATTCGCAACAACCAAGCTTTCCTATAGGTTTCCTATTCTGAAACTTCCGCCGCCGCCTTGTGCGGCACTACCGGTAGATGAAATTCTAAAGAAAACCGAAATAACATCTTAAATGAAAACCCGAAGGAAACCATACATGAAACCCTGGAAAAACACAAAAATCCGTAAATGACACCCTAAAGATCCCTAAAAAAACCCACATGAACATTTGAACCACCAACATATAATAAATACCGCAACTGGGAGGTTGAAGTGCCACAAATATAGTAAATACCATGCAAAATGGAAGGTGAACGTGCCAAAACGTAGCAAATACCATGCAAAATGACAGGTTCAGTTCCAAACTGTTGCAAATACAAGGCAAATGGTACCAGGAAAAAAATCCACAACAAAATCCCAAACCTTATCAAAAAAAATCATAAAACTATTCTTCATCCAAAAACAGCGGGCAATCCTGCAAGAAGTGGTCAGCTTGCGGATTGGGGCATACAACGTGAGAAATGGGGGAAACCAGATGTTGATATCCCCCATGGAAAAAGAGTTTGTGCGTCCGTTAGTTTCTTGTCCATTCCAGTTGGCGAACTTATGAGTTTTGAAACATGGAACAAAAAAGCCGCCGTAGAATTGCAAAAAAGGTGGATGGATCAAGAGCATGTGTGAGTCCGTTTTGTATTGTTGGATAGCAGGGTATGAGTTGCATGGTTGCACTTTGGGGCATCGTTTGGTTTTCAAAACAAAAATGTATTGAGTTTAGTTTGTGCACATGCTTTCATGGCCACCATGATTCTTTGGTTGAAACGGACACTACCGGTCTGCTCTTTGTGAGCACGCGTTGTACACAGCAACATCACAACAAGGAATTGAACGAAACAACTTCAGAATTCATGCGACTAAACCTTCAATGTCTGCCAAACCGTCCGACGGATGTGGATCAAACAATCAAAACATAGGATACCAATGTTTATTTTCGGGAAGGGAACATAGACATCTTGTCTCGAGTGTAATGTATTTTCATTTGGCGACTAAGTGCAAATTTTTGCCTCCTTGGAACTGGGATCATGTTACATTTTTTGCATGTGAGAAATGCATGCATGTCAGACCATTTTTATCACGGCAGAACACCCACTTGCACCATGTTTTCAGGGGGTTGTTTGGTTTGGATTCAAGGTTTTCGTGCTCAAGGTGCCTCTGAAACGTGCAAATTTAATCAAATTTATTGATTGAGACTCGCATGACTATCTGAACATAGTGAGGTAGCGGCAGCAAACAATAGGGCAAATGGATGGCAATGCAAAAACCCAATTTTTTTAATCACAACAAATTTGTTCGACTATTGCGCATCGTAGTTTCTGCCAGGCCAGTTGATACAGACGATATTCAACCATCCATGGGGCCAACATGATATTGAACAATAGCCGCCTCAATTTCAAACTTCAACCATCCACATGATGGTCCAAAAACATTGATGTTCATGAGTGCGGTTAGTTAACAATCAAAATGTACCAACCATTGTCTGATGGGTTCAGGGCTCAGTCAGTGCGCTGAAAATTCAGTCAAATTGTTGAACAGAGGCCACCAAACTGATGTGCACCAACAAATGTGTGACTGAGGGTGCCGCCAATCTCAACTATTGGTTTTCGCCTTGGTGATTTTCAGTTTATTGCATAATTTGTTTTTTTTCTTGGCGGGTTCTTTATCAGATCTTGAGGTTGGCAAGCACCACAGGACCTCCAGAAATTCTTGGAGGGATTTTATCAATATTTCGAGGCACATGATCATTCACAAATGTTACTTTGCCAGCAGTCTCTTCACTCGTGATCTTTGGTCAGGTAAAAGGTTTTCGTGGCATTGTTGCGCTTCACGTTTCGTGCAAGGGCTTAGTTTCTGATCCATAATTTTTCAAATCTTTTGCTCGACATGTATCGATGACTTTGTGTGTTGCCGAGGCACATTATTGCTCTCAGCTTCACCATTGTGTTCTCGTTTGTTTTGTCGCACTCACAGGTTTTCATGATCGTGAACCGCAATTGGTTTTGATGCTTGTGATTTTGATGCAGAAATATTTTTGTTTGCGTGTGTTGCAGCTGTGCTACTTGCCACTGAGGCTGTTCCTCATCGATTGGGAGGCTATCTTGTCCTGTGATTCCGAGGAGCGAAATCCTTAGAATTCTTGACCTATCTGAATCTGTGAGAGCTTTGATCGTTGTGTAAAAAAATCAAATATTTTTGATCCCAATGTCAGGTCTTGCCAGTCTTTGTCGATTTGGTATGCATGGCATTGGCAGAATCTGGGACTCCGTCGCTGGCTTGTGGCTACCTCAGGAAACACAAAATGCTTTGGATCTGAATGTTGCAAGCAGCAAATTGGGATGGACTGAGGTGCTGCTTTCCACTTTGATATTCAGTTTGTACTGGGGCTTCAATGCACCTCGGAGATTCGGATTTTTGCATCATACAGTATGAAATTGCTTTGCATTTGGAAATCGGGATGGCATCGATTCATTTGCCCCATTACTGCTTCCCAAAACTGTATAAAATTGTCAAACAGTGTGCCGTGACGGGGATCTGATCTTAACAATTTCGTAATTTTGTTTTACATGTATACTGTATACACAAAGGTGGCCTTTTTGCTGCACCATGAGGTATATCAGATGGTTTTAGTCTGCATGCAAGCGTGTCAGATGAGAAGCTTCTACAAGGAGTACATGATTTGTGACAAAGTCAGGAGTACAGACAGATGTACATATATACTGTACATCTATATCTATCAAGATCTCAAAACCATTACCTTGACATATGTATGTATATAAGTAGTACGTACCTACATACACAGCAGGTTGATCTGTGCTGTAAATGGGTCTCGACTGGTGGGGTTCGTTTGATTCATTCTGTCTTTGCTCATTTGAATCAAGTGAAGCTGTGTGGAGGAGCAGCTCGGTATTGTCTCCGATGAGAGTTTGGAGACAATGCTGTGGTCTGAAGTGGTGTCCAGACTGGTGCAATGTCAAAAGGCAAGAGGCATGGGTGGGTTTCAAACTGTGCGTGTGTAGTCGAGATTCTTATTCGAAGCGTACTCAGATTCACAGTGGATGAACGATTTCTCACTTTCGGATCGCAGGAGACTCGTCTCTGCATTGTGCAAGAGGAGCTTACCGCATTGGAAATCACCAATATCATCATGCGACAGGAGATTCTGCACCCTGCAGCTTTGTAAGTTGTCCCAAGAGGTGAGGCCACCTGATCGTCTTCCTGGTCAGGACAACTTTATCATTGGGCTTACGGACCATGATGCGTGATTCTCAGGTTCACTAGCAATGTCAAGCAAGAAATTTGGGTATTTGAACTCTTTATTCTTGAGTCACGATCGCCTGCAGTATCTGAGGCATTCACGAAGAATTTGCCCAGTTGGATTCCCCGTCGGCTTGTCCGTAGCTCAAGAACGTGCATAGATTCGCCCAGGACATTGACTCCGGTTTTCAGATTCTTCAGCTGGAGTTTACCGCTTTGTTCGCATATCCTCGCATATCTTCGCATGTCTTTGCCACCGAGGTGTACACCAAGGCACCTCTCTGGAACATTTTGCTGGCGATCTTCCCACCTGTTGGAGTCAGGGCCGCAGCTTTCGCAGCGAAACCCGTAGCTTTCGTAGCTTTCGTAGCTTTGGACCTTGGGCAAATCCTTGGCCATCCTTGGCCACTGTCGGTGGAGACCTGCAGGCAGAAGCCTTGGATCATCGTGGCAGACTGCGGCAAGAATTCCTCGACAGACCCGAGGCCTTGTTGCACCTAGTTGTCCAAGTTGTCAAAGTTGTCCAAGTTTTTCTAAAATATTTGCAACCAACCTATTCAGGCTTGGACGATTTGAACTAAAGCTTGGCATTCCTTGCTCCTACCCTCGGGCTTTGGCATTTGGGCTCCAAGACGGTATAGGTGGTAAATCCTTGATCCAAGTCCTTCGCCATGGCGGTTGGAAAGAACAAGCGACTCACCAAGGGTGGGAAAAAAGGCGGTAAGAAGAAGGCGGGCGATCCTTTCCTTCGGAAGGAGTGGTATGACATCAAGGCCCCCAGCATGTTCAGCGTGAGAAACTGCGGTAAGACCTTGGTGTCTCGAACTCAAGGAACCAAGATTGCCACAGAGGAGCTGAAAGGCCGCGTGTTGGAGGCCCGGTGTGTACTGTTCGGCTCATACTGTTCGTCGGGGATGATTTATTATGATTATTATGAATATTTGCGGACTCTGATCAAACCGCTTGCGATTTTTGCTGTCAGAAGTCAAAAGTAGTTCATCCTTGATGCGAGTCTCTGCACGGTGCTAGGTGAATCTTGCGGACCTGAACAATGATGAGGATCAGGCCTCCAAGAAGATTAGGCTTTGCATCGAAGAGGTCCAGGGTCGCAGCTGCCTCACCGACTTCCATGGCATGACTTTGACCCGTGACAAGATTTGCTCCCTCATCAAAAAGTGGCAGACGTTGATTGAGGCGCACGTTGATGTCAAGACAACTGACGGCTACGTGGTCCGCCTCTTTTGCATTGCCTTCACCAAGCGTCGTCCAGACCAAGTGAGAGCCAATTGCTATGCTCAGTCAGCTCAGATTCGCAAGATTCGCAAAAAGATGGTGGAGATTATGACCGCAGAAGCGAGCAAGGTGCTTCCACTGCAGATCTCAGGCAATATTGTGCTATTGTTGCTTCTCATTCTTTTTGGTTTTGCAAAATGGTCTCTTTCTCATGATTTCCCAAGTCTGCAAACCAGGTGCAGCTCCGAGAGCTTGTGAAGAAGCTGATCCCGGAGTCCATCGGCAAGGAAATTGAGAAGCAAACCCAGGGGATCTTCCCTCTGAAGGATTGTTTCTGGTTGGTGCTTTCAGCGTTTTTCTTTGCATTTGCATTGTTTTTACCATCTTACATGGGATGATGATCCCAGCCGACAGATTTTATTTTTGAAGGGTGACTGAAACACCAATCAGGTTTGATCCGGAAGGTGAAGATTTTGAAGAAGCCCAAATTTGACATTACCAAGCTGATGGAGCTCCATGGTGATGGCGGTGATGACGCTGGTGTCGAGATGATGCGCCCAGAGGCAGATGATGCCATGAACACGTTGACTGCGGATGTTACCGCAGCTGCGGATGACGAGTGAAGTGACTGAGAGGAGTCTAGAAACGATGAACAGTGTAGAACTCTACAGAAAGGAGAGTTGAATCTTTCCTATGGGCAACGCAGGTCCGTGATGCTAGTGCAACCCGTCCAACGATAGGATTTCAAAGCCACCTGATACAAAAGAATGTGAGTGCCTGCTGGGAGCAGAGGGCTTTTGCAGGCACTTGATTTGAAAGTCAGAAGCCACTACCACAACCAATCTGTGCACATGGTGTGTGTGTGTTGATGTGTGCGGCTGGCGCTGAAGCACCGCAGGTGCTTGCACGCAAGTTTAGATTTCTTGCGCTGTCAGAGACTCACACAAATGGTTTGCCAAATAAGGCCCGAATTTCCACAGCTGCAACTACTATTATAATCTATCATGTACAACTTGTTCTTCTTTTCTTTTATTTTTACACTCCAGTACATCTTTTACATTTTCCAGAGGTGCTTATGTTACTTGTGTTGTTTTTCCTCTTCAGCGATTGCATCCACGGATTTGCCAAGGATCAATTTAGTCCTGCTGCTTCCCGTCTCAATGTTTGTTGGAGTCTACTTCTTCATGCGCCGTCAGCTTAACGAGGGGTCATTATATCCTCATTTGTTGTGTCTAAGGCAAGGAAGAACAGATGAGAACTTGTCTGACACTCCTGGCGAAAGGTCATGCCCAAGAGTTTCGTTCACAGCGGACATCGCCATTCAGGAAGCAGTGGTCCGACTATGCAGGAGACTGAGGTATTCGATCCATACAGGTAAAGTCCAGAAAGATCGTGATTGACAGATTGACAATTCTAATCAGGTAGAGAGCCTGCTTTTGATTTCAGGCCTACTGGACATTTCGAGAATACAACGAGTTGCCCCACCAGGTTGATGTCAGGTCCTGAGAACATGTTCCAACAGAGTTGTCTTTTCTTCTAATCGTCCCGGTCTACCCTCAGTGCCCGAAGCCAGGCCAGAATGTGTACAGCTCAGGGAGCTGCAGAGGACGGAGCTTTGGTGGCTGTCGTGATGTCAGCGGTATGCTGTATACCACTTGGTTCTTTTGGGGTTGATGCCGTTAATGCCGTTGATGCCGTTGATGCCGTTGATGCCCATTGTTACTTGATGCTGCTTGCACTGCTGGAGGCGTACATCCATGCCACAAAACCCACTTCGCCTGTGCTCAAGTCTTTGCTTCGGTGTGCCAAGTTCATCTCAGGACGTGCTTGGAACCTCTTGTCTCTTCCATTCTTGGGATGGGTCCCAGTTTTGCCTTTGAAGTCCCCCGAATTTCACTGGTTGAAGCCTTGTTCTGTCAGAGGATTTGTATATTTTGTATGCCATTGTAGGCAAGTTGCGCGGGAAACTTTCGCAGGATCCATCCTGGCGGCACTGCTTCTCGTGGCCTTATGGGATGATTCTTGCCGAAACGTGTCATGTCATGTCGTCGTGTCCATGTTGTACACGAATTTCCTGAAGACTTGGCTTCTGGCCATGAGGATACTCCACTTCTCTTCGTCAAAGTTCAGGCAGGCATCAATCTGGAACCCTCAAGAACCAGAATTAAACTTCCCAGACTAACCATTTGCCAAGTAGGAATCTTCTCTAGAAGAATGAAACCACCGTTTAAGCCGCTTGCTTTGGGTTCCAGCGAGCTGTCCAGTCAAAAGGTTGCATATTGGCAGTCCCAAGATCATAGCGTAATATTCTGTAGTCTTGATTTGTTCAGGAGAAAAACCTGCTGTGGTACCTTGCTTTTTTTGGTGGCTTTCTCAGCTTTAGGTGTCAAAGAGTCAATCTTTTTTTGAGACCCGCATAATTGTTTTTTTCTATACTGTAATTGATTGTAGTTGTGGCCCAAGGTTTCGTATTTGCAGTTGTGGACAGTGCCGGCGAGGAAGATTCAGGAGTTGTGGATGGCACGCTCGTGATTTGTGTTTTTGTCATTTTTTAAGCATATCTAAGCTGCGTGGCCGTCGATTCCCAAGTGTTCACCTGATCAAAGGAGACTCTGAAGGCCAGCTATGTTGCTTTTTGGGCATTTCTGTCGAGCAGTTCGGCTGAGCATGACACATTTGGCCAGATTCAGGCAAAGGATCTGGCTCTGAAGCTTGTTTGCATGCACTTAGCACTCCGTGCGGGCCTTTATTTGGGAGTCTTGGACTCTTCAACTTGGCTCTGCTGGAGAGTGTGTTTATGCCCTTTAGAAACTTAAGGCTCCGGATGTATGTTGCGTTGATGAAAATGGTGTCCTGCCTCATCCTGAGTTTGAACTTTCAGACTATTTGCTTGAATGGAGGTTGCATGGAATTCTGAGGCACGCATTATTTGCCTGGAAGCTGGCGCTCTCCAGCAAAGATCACATCTTTAGCAGGATCCAGGGCAAGATGTGAGGGATTTCTGGTGAAAAGTCTATATAGATAAGAACTCAACCATGAGCAGCTTCAAGGACCACATTTTTTTTTTGTCTTTTCCGACAGGGGCAAACATCAAGTGACGAAAGGCATATTCTGTTGATTTTTTAAATGTTACTTCAATGGAACTTGGGAAGATAATCGTTTTTTTGACACGATGACGTGATGGAGCTTCTCGGCGGAGTTTGTACGCCTTTGCCATATCCAGAAGGCTCTTGCAGTCCCCTCACATCCAGCTTTCTGAATGATAAGGACACAAGTAATCATCATTTCGTCTACTGAAACTTGTCGAATATTTCAGGAGCATGCAGTGGTCTTCGGCGTCAGAGCCTGATTTAAGATATTTAAGTGTCGAATAGATTCGAGCGAAAGTTCTGCAGCTCGACATGTGAACCCATGCCTTGTTTGTCTTGTACCCTCTGGTAATTTAACATAGCTATTGAAAATGACCACAGAAATAGTGGATTTTCCCATGAAAAAAGGTGGATCTTTCCATAGTTATGTAACAGTTTACCAGGCCGGGTATGTCTTGTGCCCATTTTAGGTGCCACTCTTTGCAAGCACTTTCGCCGTGTACGCCAGGACTTCACTGAAGTACGGGAAATTGGGATTGTTTGGGAAGTGCTTCCCCAATATCCACATCGTTCTATGATGTTCTATGTCATGTATATATATATAATTATCTATGTATATCTATACATACATATGTACTGTATGACTGTATACCGTTACATCATGTGCTCATTTACTGTTCGTGGAGCACTCTCGCTTGTGTCGAGCAAGAGTTCCAGACTTTTATTTTGCATTTCAACATTTAATGTCTTGAATACCAGACTCACCCTTTCTCCTTCATAGAAATTCTGAGTACTAGACGCAAAGACGAAGCCCAAGCCTGTGTGTAAGGCCGTCTCATTGGGGCGGAGGATTTTCTGGTTTGAACCAGTGAACAGACCTCTAGAACTGTAATAAGGATCCTGGTTCTCTACAGAGTGACATTATATATATATATGTGGCAGGGACCTTTTGGTATAATGCGACCGTCCTCCTTTCTGATCCCATTTGTTTCCATACTTGTCTCCTTGTCTGTTCCCAACTTGTCTCCTTATTTCTCTATCTCCATTGAGATTCTTCTCTCTGGGTGCTTTCGGTCAAAGGAATCTCCCCTTGTCTCCCGTTCCTCACTTCTCTCTCCATTGCTCAGTGTTCTTCGTTCTGGTGGCTTTGGGACAGGACTCAAGTCCCATCTGTTTTCGTACTCGTCTCTCTACTTCACTCTCACATGTGGCTGTTCTCTCTGGGTGCTTCCGGGGCACAGTATGCTCCTTGTCCTCTGTCTGTCTATGTGCTTGTCCCCCTTGTTCTCTCCAACTCATGCCCTTACTTCTCTCTCTCTCTCTTGCTGTTCTTCTCTCTAGGTGCTTATTTGGACACATGATTCTCTCCGGTTCCTCACTTGCCCTTTCTTGTTCCCTCCAACGTGTATCCTTAATCCCCTCCCCATTGCTGCTGCTGGGGGAAGAATGGATTTCCTGGCCTCTTGTGTTTCTCCCTGCCTTTTTTCCTTTGTTCAGGTCACATTCCCTTACCCTCAGTCTCTACCACGTGTTACCCTACTTACCTTCCTACTTGTCTCCAACTTGTCTCCTTATCCTCTCTCCACTACCGTGCTTCTTTCCAGGTCTCCGGCATTTGGGACGGAGAGGATAGTTTTTCTCCTCTTTCCTTTCTTTCCTTCCTTGTCCCTGTAGTCTTTCCCAGCGCTTTCTTCACTTCTCTCCTCATTCCTGTTGTTCTCGCTTTTGGGACCCAAGATTCCCCTTGTCTCCCATGTGTTCCCATCTGTGTCCTTCTTCAGCCAATTTTTTCCTACTTGCTGTTTTGTCTAGGCTTTAGGACCTCTTCATTTCTTTTTGTCCCTCCCTGTTACTGTTCTTCTTCCTGGGTGCTTCTGGGCACAGGATACTCTTCGTGGTGCTCGATGGCAAAGGATTCTTCTTGCCTCCCATTGGTTTCCATACTTGTCTCCTTGTCTGTTCCCAACTTGTCTCCTTACTTCTCTATCTCCATTGCGATTCTTCTCTCTGGGTGCTTTCGGTCAAAGGAATCTGCTTGTCTCCCGTTCCTCACTTCTCTCTCCATTGCTCAGTGTTCTTCGTTCTGGTGGCTTTGGGGACAGGACTCAAGTCCCATCTGTTTTCGTACTCGTCTCTCTACTTCACTCTCACATGTGGCTGTTCTCTCTGGGTGCTTCCGGGGCACAGTATGCTCCTAGTCCTCTGTCTGTCTCCGTGCTTGTCCCCCTTGTTCTCTCCAACTCGTGCCCTTACTTCTCTCTCTCTCTCTCTTTCTCTCTCTCTCTCTTGCTGTTCTTCTCTCTAGGTGCTTATTTGGACACATGATTCTCTCTGGTTCCTCACTTGTCCTCCCTTGTCCTCCCTTGTTCCCTCCAACGTGTATCCTTAATCCCCTCCCCATTGCTGCTGCTGGGGGAAGAATGGATTTCCTGGCCTCTTGTGTTTCTCCTTAACTTTTCTTCCTTTGTTCAGGTCACATTCCCTTACCCTCGGTCTCTACCACATGTTACCCTACTTACCTTCCTACTTGTCTCCAACTTGTCTCCTTATTCTCTCTCCACTACCGCGCTTCTTTCCAGGTCTCCGGCATTTGGGAGGGAGAGGATAGTTTTTCTCCTCTTTCCTTTCTTTCCTTCCTTGTCCCTGTAGTCTTTCCCAGCGCTTTCTTCGCTTCTCTCCTCATTCCTGTTGTTCTCGCTTTTGGGACCCAAGATTCCCCTTGTCTCCCATGTGTTCCCATCTGTGTCCTTATTCAGCCAATTTTTTCCTACTTGCTGTGTGGTCTAGGCTTTAGGACCTTCAGGTGGTTTTGGGGGCCATAAACATTACCGAGTCCCTCATTCGTGTCCCTTCCGTCACCGCCTTCTTGCAGTCTCCTCTCTTCATTTCTTTTTGTCCCTCACTGTTACTGTTCTTCTTCCTGGGTGCTTCTGGGCACAGGATACTCTTCGTGGTGCTCGATGGCAAAGGATTCTTCTTGCCTCCCATTTGTTTCCATACTTGTCTCCTTGTCTGTTCCCAACTTGTCTCCTTACTTCTCTATCTCCATTGCGATTCTTCTCTCTGGGTGCTTTCGGTCAAAGGAATCTCCTTGTCTCCCGTTCCTCACTTCTCTCTCCATTGCTCAGTGTTCTTCGTTCTTGTGGCTTTGGGGACAGAACTCAAGTCCCATCTGTTTTCGTACTCGTCTCTCTACTTCACTCTCACATGTGGCTGTTCTCTCTGGGTGCTTCCGGGGCACAGTATGCTCCTTGTCCTCTGTCTGTCTCCGTGCTTGTTTGCCTTGTTCTCTCCAACTCATGCCCTTACTTCTCTCTCTCTCTCTCTCTCTTTCTCTCTCTCTCTCTCTCTCCTCTCTCTCTCTCTCTTGCTGTTCTTCTCTCTAGGTGCTTATTTGGACACATGATTCTCTCTGGTTCCTCACTTGTCCTCCCTTGTCCTCCCTTGTTCCCTCCAACGTGTATCCTTAATTCCCTCCTCATTGCTGCTGCTGCTTGGGAAAGAACGGATTTCCTGGCCTCTTGTGTTTCTCCTTAACTTTTCTTCCTTTGTTCAGGTCACATTCCCTTACCCTCGGTCTCTACCACATGTCCCTTACCCTCGGTCTCTACCACATGTTGCCCTACTTACCTTCCTACGTGTCTCCAACTTGTCTCCGTATTCTCTCTCCACTACCGTGCTTCTTTCCAGGTCTCCGGCATTTGGGAGGGAGAGGATAGTTTTTCTCCTCTTTCCTTTCTTTCCTTCCTTGTCCCTGTGGTCTTTCCCAGCGCTTTCTTCACTTCTCTCCTCATTCCTGTTGTTCTCGCTTTTGGGACCCAAGATTCCCCTTGTCTCCCATGTGTTCCCATCTGTGTCCTTCTTCAGCCAATTTTTTCCTACTCGCTGTTTTGTCTAGGCTTTAGGACCTCTTCATTTCTTTTTGTCCCTCCCTGTTACTGTTCTTCTTCCTGGGTGCTTCTGGGCACAGGATACTCTTCGTGGTGCTCGATGGCAAAGGATTCTTCTTGCCTCCCATTTGTTTCCATACTTGTCTCCTTGTCTGTTCCCAACTTGTCTCCTTACTTCTCTATCTCCATTGCGATTCTTCTCTCTGGGTGCTTTCGGTCAAAGGAATCTGCTTGTCTCCCGTTCCTCACTTCTCTCTCCATTGCTCAGTGTTCTTCGTTCTGGTGGCTTTGGGGACAGGACTCAAGTCCCATCTGTTTTCGTACTCGTCTCTCTACTTCACTCTCATATGTGGCTGTTCTCTCTGGGTGCTTCCGGGGCACAGTATGCT